ATTAATTAATTAATTTAAAGCCAATCTTTATATTTTTTATATAAATTAATTAAAAAATTACATATATTATACATTTTATATATTAAAAAGCCCATTAAAAATTTAGAAACACTCTACATACATTTTAACATGGAGCATGCTCGAACTTGTGCCTCCTCCGCAATGGGCAAGATTACAAACCAGTTGATCCACCGCACCTGGTTTGTCAAAAAGTATTACACAACATTATATTTATTCATTTGGGTTAAACCGGTTAAACCGGGAACCGGAGGTCAAAACGGTTTGACCTCCGGGTCGGTTTTTAAAACTTTGCTTAGAAGAAGGTGGGTCCATGATATTAATTTCTTCTTTTATTACTTTCGTCTATTATCTTTTGTTTCACAGTTGGATGGTAGAAAAAAAAGGCAAAACCATAGTTAAGCCCCTGAACTAAATCCAGAATCGCTATTAAGCCCCTAGACTTTAATTGATGCATATAAACCCTTAAACTCTGCGATCCAAGCAATTAAGCCCTTCTTTTTACGCCAACTTAACTGCCGTTTTGGGACTCGCTCGTCTGGCTTAACTGCCGTTTAGGACACACTCCCTTGGCTACTTGGATGGCAAAATATTGCCATGTCATGCTTGTACAACAACCTTTTTGTATCATCTATTAATATAATTTAACGTGTCATTTAAATGATTGATTTTTTTAATTTTATAAAATCTATAATATTAAATACATTTACTCATTTAATGATATATGAAAATTATATTAAAAGATGATATAAAAATGTTGTACTTATAATACCACTTTTACATGACAAGGGATTTGATATTTGTGGAGGATTTTTGGCTTATTGGATCATTTAATTTTTTAAATTAAATAAAGGCTAAAAAAAATAAAGTCATACATTTGACTAGAAATATTATTTAAATAAAGTTTTAAATTTAAAATAAATACTTTATTTTATCTAATTAAAACTCAATTTAAATTTAAAAGTTTATCTTATTAAATATTAATATTTAGATTTAGAAAGTAATTTCATTATAATATACAATTAATTTTCTAATTTAGGTGTCCATATTTAATAAGGTAAAATTTTAAATTTTTCACTGAAATTTTAATTTCTAAATATAAGTTGAGATTCTAATTTTTTTAAAATCAGGATTAATATATACTAATCTTATATAATAAATATTAAATAAATATATATAGTATTATAAATAAATTTTTAAATAAAAAAATTAAATAACAATGCACTAAATTACAATATTACACAATATTATAAAGAAAAAATACATATCAGTTTCGACTCACAAAAATAATTTTTTGTTATATTTAATTAAAACTCAATTTAAAATTTAAAAATTATCTTATTAAATATTTATATTTAGATATATAAACCGATTATATTAAAATATATAATATGTCTTTAAATTTAGATATTAATATTTAATAGTATAAGATTTTAGTTTCTAAATATAAGTTAATACCCTAATTATTTTTGGAAGTCGAGACTAAACTCTTACACTATTAAATATTAATATTTAAATTTATAAACTAATTATATATTTTAAAATAATTAGTTTCTAAATTTAAATATGAATATTTAATAAGATAATTTTTAAATTTTGAATTGAGTTTTAATTAAATAAAATGAAATAATTTAATATTAAGATTTCAATTATTTTTTAGAGTTGAAATTGACATGCATTTTCTTTTATAATATTATGTGATATTATAATTTAGTGTATCGTTATTAAATTTGTTTTTATTTAAAAATTTATTTATAATACTATATATATTTATTATATAAAATTAATGTGTATCAGTTTTATTTTTAAAAAAAAATTTAAAATCTCAATTTATATTTAGAAATTGAAATTTCAATGCAAAATTTAAAAATTTATCCTATTAAATATTGGTACATAGATTTGAAAATTAATTGTATATTAGAATAAAATCACTTTCTAAATTTAAACATTAATATTTAATAAGATAATTTTAAATTTTAAATTGAGTTTTAATTAGATAAAATGAGGTATTTGCTTTAAATTTAAAATTTTAATTTATTTCAAAAATTAAAACTGATATATATTTATTATATTTATTTGATATTATATATCACATAATTATAAATTTATTATTTTAAGTGATACTATTTTTTATTAAACTTTCAAAATTTTAAAATTATATTAGTCTCAATTAATATAAAATTAAATCACAATAAATCATATAATTTTTTTTAATGTCTATTACTTTATTTATTAAATTTAAATTTAAGATTTTATTTAAATAATATTTCCACCCAAATATATGAAATTTTTTTAATGTCTATTATTTTATTTATTGAATTTACGTTTAATATTTTATTTAAATAATATTTCCACCTAATTGTATGACTTTATTTTATTTAGACTTTATTTAAGGAAAAAAATTGAATAATCAAATCAGTCAAAAATCCAGTTTAAATGTCCAATCCCTTGCCACATAAGCATGACATGGCAATATTTTGCCATCCAAGCAGCCAAGCGAGTGTGTCCTAGACGGCAGTTAAGCCAGGTGAGCGAGTGCCAAACGGCAGTTAAGTTGGCGTAAGAAGAAGGGCTTAATTGCTTTGATCGCAGAGTTTAAGGGCTTATATGCATCAATTAGGGTCTAGGGGCTTAATAGCGATTCTGGGGTTAGTTCAGGGGCTTAACTTATGGTTTTGCCAAGAAAAAACTTTGACCGTAAATATGCAATGATCTCAGGGGAAACCCTACAGTGAACGTCGCATAGATCGAGGGGAAATATGCCATTTGCGTGCGTGCCACGTGTACATTAGAACCACCAGATAAGACGACTTTTCGTTTTGACATTGACTCGGTCCCACCGTGAGCTTCCCTCGCGCTTCGGCGACGCGTATGAACCAACCAAGCAAACACTCCTACTTTTCTCAATAATTTTTTTCTTTTTTATAAAACAAAATACACATTAATTTGTTTTCTTCTGCTAGTATTCTATTTTTGATTTTCTGTTTCGTTGTTTTTTCCCTTTCTCCTTCAACAAAACACAAGCTGCATGAAACAGAAGAATCCATCCGTCTCTGGTTCTTCCTTTCTCCCTTTTTAACGCCTTTTAAGCTCTTATTCATGGCATTCCGCTCGTCCTCTTCTTCAGGTACTTTCTCGATTCTTTTTTTTTTTCTTAATTGTTTTGTTGAATTTTTTCTATCTTGTTGAATGCATTCGTTCATCTCTGAAATCAGAAGATCTATTCATTTGATTCGATTGTTTGGTTTTGATTTTGAATTTGAATTTTTTTTTCTTCTTCTTTTGTTGAATTTGCAGGTGAAGTTTGATGATTTATGAAATTCGAGACGATCTGTGGAATGTGATGTTCTGAATTTTTTTTCACCACTGGCTACAGTATCGGGACGTTGTGTTTTCGCTTTCGTTTTCGTTTTGATTTGGTGTTTTCTTATTTTGATTAAAGAGATAAGAGGTGGAAACTGTGATTTTTCAAGCAATAGCATGGGCTATCTGAGTTCAGTTTTATCGGCTTCGAGCCAGGTTCATGCTGATGATCAAGGACCTGTCAGTGGCGGTGGCCTCAGGTGGTTTCTTCATTCTCTGTTGAAAACTTGGATGAATCTTTTGTTAGATCTGAAATTTGGTTTATACTGGTGTTTGTCAAGTGTCTCCTGTTTTGGCTTGCATGTTGATGATAGCTATGATTCTCGCATCTAATGTTAATTTTGTTGTACCTCCGTATATGTTTTTCCAATTTAATGGAATCTGTTAATAAAATGAGTTTTTCATCTACAATTGTCTCGCGTCACAAACCCTAGAGAGAAAGACCTTTTAATTTCTGCATTTAAGTTTTAGCTGAATCCTGTAGCAAACCTCAATTGATAGATGGTAAGAATGGAGATTACTATCTTCATTGAGAAAGAAATATATGAAGAGAAAATAAAAGTAAAAATTGTGCAATTGAAGCGAGTCAAAAAACTTTATTAAACTGGTAAGGTCTGACACGTATTCCATCAAATTCAATATTTTGTTTCCTTATGATTTTGTAGCTGCTTTCCCCATTTGAAATCCATATTCATGTTTCTGTCTCATGATTTGTTGGTATGCAAAATGAGCGAAACTCCTTGCCTAAATTTCAATATCGTCACACTTTGCATGTGTCATCAATTTTTGTTCTGGGGACCAAATCACTTATCTCTGTTCCATTTCTTATGTTCCTTACTCCTTGCTATAATGGTGCTACTTTAGGTGTAGAGAACTATATTTTCTCTCGTCCTTATGATCTGAATCCTGACAAGATATTTTTCACCTTGCTGAGATTTCAGTAACAGCTCTTCATGTGTTGCATTTAGAAATGAATTAATCTAATGTCATTTGTACCATGTTGCTGTGGATGTTAAATTTTCCTTGAAGGATTGCTTAAGTTATTTTTCCGCAGATGAAAATAGTTAAATGATCAATACCTGTAGTGATTGCACTTTTAGACTCAAATGTTCTTGGTGGTTTATGTCTAAAACCAAATATGCTGTGTTTTCTGGAACAGTCAAAATGGAAAGTTCAGCTATGGATATGCAAGCTCTCCTGGGAAAAGGTCTTCAATGGAAGATTTTTATGAGACAAGAATTGATGGTGTTGATGGAGAAATTGTTGGTCTTTTTGGAGTTTTTGATGGTACCTTATCTCTTGTATACACCTTAGTTCTCCTGCAATCTATTCTTCATCTTTAGCCTTTGCAATTTCTCCATTTCATGATTATTCCAATGCTAGAATATGCATAGCAGTAATTTCCCTCACTGTGCTAGAATAGGCATAGTATTAACTTCCCTTGCTGTGCATCATTAAACATTCATCTCTTGTGCCTACCATGGAAAACCATCTCATGCTCTTTAGTTATCATGAGTTTTTCCATTGTGTTACCACACATATCCTTACAAATAAAGAAATTGTTCTTTCAGGGCATGGGGGTGCACGAGCTGCTGAGTATGTGAAACAAAACCTTTTCAGTAATCTGATTAGACATCCAAAATTCATTTCTGACACAAAATCAGCTATAGGTCATCAACTTCTTAGCCCTGCTGTGCTGTTCCTTGATGTATTTGAATTGTTCAATCATCAGACTGACTTGCCTTATAAAATTCTTCATGTGCTTCAGCTGATGCATATAACCATACAGACTCTGAATTTTTGAAATCAGAAAATAACCAGAACAGGGATGCTGGATCAACTGCTTCCACAGCCATTCTTGTTGGTGATCGCTTGCTAGTTGCAAATGTTGGGGATTCTCGAGCTGTAATCTGCAGAGGTGGAAATGGTAAGATTCATGAAATTTCTGAATTTCTGTTCGCAGAAATTTCATTGGAACAATGCATGATTAGCAGACTGGATAGGCCATATATCATGTGCATGTATTTGGAAACTGATAGAGCTTTGAATATGCCAATCCCAATTATTGTGTATTGCTTATGAAAAAAATGATTTTATTATTGTATGTCAATCCAACATAAAGTAATAGACATTTCTATGTCTCTTAGAAATCTTGCTCAAGGATTATTTGTCTGTCTCTCCCTTTTTTTTTTTAGGGAAAATGTGAATTTATTACCCAAAATAACTGTCATTTACAAAGCAGCACTGTGAAACAAGGCTGCTATGGTTTCAAAACTAGAAGAAGAGGCAGAAGGCTAGATAAGCACTGAATTTTTTATTTTTTATTTTTTTGTCTGTCTCATTTTATCTCTTTTCTGTAGCCATTGCTGTATCTCGAGATCACAAGCCAGACCAAAGTGATGAGCGACAACGTATTGAGAATGCTGGAGGATTTGTGATGTGGGCTGGTAAGGATGTTTTACATAATCATTTCTGCTCTCTCCCCTCTGTGTGCCCAACAGTCACACACACCTGGCATTCCTTGTTGATCCTTATAATTTTTTGTCCAAGCTTTCAAGTGATACAATAAAGTCCTTCCAAAATTTGTGTAGGAACTTGGAGAGTTGGAGGTGTGCTTGCTGTTTCTCGGGCGTTTGGTGACCGGCTCTTAAAGCAGTATGTTGTTGCTGATCCAGAAATTCAGGTCTGGTTTGAGACTGGCTTGAATAATGCTGAATTTGGACTCCCAACTGTGCATCATTAAAATATAATGCTCTAACCAAAAAAAAAAAAATACTGTGGACATTTTAGACTCTATAAAATTCAATTATATATATGATGGATAGTGCTCAAAAACAACTTTGCATTTGTATTTTTCTCCCACTTACATACTGTTTAGCTTTTTTTATCATATTTAGTCCTGACATCACTATGGAATTTGCAGGAGGAAAAGATTGATAGCTCTCTTGAGTTTCTTATTCTTGCAAGTGATGGATTGTGGGATGTTGTTACAAATGAGGTATGCAATGACCCTTATCTGGACTTTTTTTAGTCTTGCTAGCATCTTACAAACCTATTGGACTTCTGGGCACTTTTTAGATAACAATTGAGCAAGGCTTTCTTATCCAATATATCTTTGGATCCCTTCTTTCTCTTCTAGGGCACTTGTGATGTCTTAAATTTATGTGCTGGTATAGGTAGTGGTTATGTGCAATTGTCCAACTTTCAATTTACTTTCACAGGAGGCTGTTGCAATGATAAAAGCTATGGAAGATCCAGAAGAGGCTGCAAGGAGGCTCATGCAAGAGGCATACCAGAGAGGTAGTGCTGATAACATTACTACAGTTGTTGTCCGCTTCCTGGCCAATCAAGGGGCTTCCTCTCGTGGTAACCCAGCCAAACATGGGGGTTCTTCTCATACCAACCCAAGCAATAATGGGGGTTCCTCTCATGCTAACCAAACCAATCAAGGAGGTTCCTCTCATGGTAACCCAGCCAATCATGGAGGCTCCTCTCACAATAACCAAACCAATCAAGAGGGTTCTTCACATAGTAACCAAGCCAATCAAGGGGGTTACTCCCGCAGCAACTCGGCCAACCTGACCAATCAATGGGGTTCCTCTCGCAGCATCCAGACCAATCAAGATGTTTCCTATTTCAAGTAACTCTACCTAAGCACAACGCATTCTAAGGTTTTGGCTCTCTAGCTGATGACAGAAATGAGGTGAAATAAACTTGGACTAATAGAAGGCCAGAAAAAAGAAAAATTTAAATAGTAATAGGCAGTCATAGAAATCCTACAATAGCATTGTACTATGTAAAAATTTAGAAACACGGACAGACGCATTCTACTATCATAGAAATCTTTGGGGTATCTCGAGATCAGAAACCATTGCTTTATCTATTTCTAGTTTCTGTGATAAAATTGAAGCACTGTTTAGCTTCTGTTCTTGGGGTCTTGCTGTTAGATTTGTGCATGTCTTGACTTTGTAAAGAGTCTGAATCTGAAGACGACTATCCACCTGTTTCTGATGTAAATCTAGTACTGTAATTGTTTATTACGTTATCTTTATTTTAGGGAAAAAAAAAATGGAAACCTTCAGCCGGACCATATTCTTATGAATTTTCTTTTCCATTGCAAAGAGCAACGATACGGAGAGGAGACCCTTCCTATATTAGGTTTAAAAAAATGAAGGGAATGTAAGGGAAAAGTTCATTTCACCTCTTCTCTATTGTTTTCTTTCTAATTAAACATATTCTAAATGGGAGGACAGAGACGACGAGAGAAAGACTCGTCAAGGTAATTTTAGAATTTTAGTCATTATGCCCAACCGGTCAAGAAAGACTCAGCAAGGTAATTTTAGCCAATAAAAGAAAATAAATTATTATTTACATTGTATTCAAAAAATATATATATATATACAATATATTTTACAATTATTAATAAAAGATTAACTTTTTTAAATATTAAAATAATAATTTTTTAAATAATTACAAAACATACCACCTGTATTTCTCAAAAATATTACATGTATAGAAATGAACAACCACTAGTGTGTAAAGTTATCAAAATTGAGATTTTATCTAAAATTATTTTAATTAAGTAAAATCGAAATCAAATTTATAAAATTCAGAGTTTATTAAATTTAATAAATAAATAATAAAAATTTATATTTTTATATTAATATAATTAAAATTCAACAATAAATAATCAAATATGAAATTAAAGTTTATAATAACT